ATAATTCAAATTTATCTAGAATTGTGCAACAATCATGCAATGAATTGAAAGACACGTACGACAACCATTGATGTCAGCCATTCCCACTGTTTACCAATGTAATGTTTTCACGTCTTCAAACAAATTACACGTCACAGTAATAATTATCCTTCTCTCTTTTATGCTTTAACCCATCAACTCTCAAATAGACTTCATTCTTTTTCTCAAACGGTCTTCCGCGTTCTACCACATTCAGAATCCACTTGAATTCAACGCATATGTTTCTATTATTCGCGAATTTTCTTTATTTCTTAACTCACTACTTTATGAAAGCGTAATTTTTTGATGATTAAACCTAACATTTTACTCAGTCTGTTTTATTGTTTTGGATGTCGTACTGCTACGTGACATTGCTAGGCATGTAGAATGCCCGAGATGTTGAGAAAGTCTGTCTGGATTTGTTACGAGAATATTTTGGGATCACTGAGATTTCAAATAATCCTTCTTGTTGTGAATCATATAAGCAATATCAACCCAATAGTATCGATCTTTGAAGCCGGGGACATGAGCAATTTTAGGTCTAAACTGTCTTCGGCTTGCAATTTTGATTTTATATTTGAGTTTTCAAGCAATATCATCAAAGTGAATTGTAACAAAATGTACCCTTAAATTTAATTGGTATTGTAAAATAAAAATCTTACAGGAGCATTTCAAAGAAACTTTAAATAGTGGATTAAATACAAGACATTTGTTATTGATCAGCGCATCTCATTTTAAATTACGTGGCTACTTTATGGCTAGAAATTTCTTTTATGGCTTAATTACGTGATTACTTTATGGATAAGCATTTCTTTTATAGCTTAATTAATTACATAGATCAAAATTAAGTACTACAAGCAGGCAAATCATATTACTGTTTGCTTCAAATTGCCTAAATATCATAAAAATGCAATCATTAAATTGAATTTCGAAAAGGTGACTAAAAAGTAACCGGGTTTGTTGTCTAAATTACGATGCCTGAACTACAGTTTTTTCATTTAAATATCACAGCATAAATCACATATTTTCAAAGTCCACTAATATTCATCGAGCATATTACATCTGCCTTGACAAATCTTATTCCACCTTAATAGTTGTCGATGATCGTCACTGAAGAGTAAGAAATTCTATGAAATTATAATTGAATATAAAATAATTTGATGGATTCGATTTAACATTTAGTTCCACTGAAAAGGCTCATTTTCGCGCAGTGGATGATAAATCATACAAGTAAAATTTTCTGAACCATCACTAAAGCAAGATTTAGAAAAAGAATAATTCGCAGCTTTGGAAAATAGCGGATATGATTTCTTTTTTCATTACTAGATTTAGACTATTCAAAATTTCATTAACTAATGTTTCCTTGTCATTATTCGATAATTTTGCTCTTAATATTTCGTATTTCGATTTACAGTAGCGATTCCAATCGCTGAATCGTGAATTCGCTACCTAAATAAATTTCTGGAAGTTCCGAACAATATTTTATAATGTCTTTAATGAACAATCATTTTAGAAGAAATTTATGAAGCACACAGTTAGTAGAAATTTAAATATCCTTATACAATTTTATTTGTTTTACTGTCTTCAGTATGAATTTTTTACTAATTTACAACATACGTTTCTTCTAACAGGCTTGCAACTTTCTTGTGCAATGTGTTTCATCCAATTGGTAAAAGTATCGAAGAAATAACGCGCCAGTGAAGGAGATCGTTTAAGATCGGATAATGTAAAATATGTCGGTGAATGTGGTGATATCATATCTTTTAACTTAAAAACTTTTTGTAGAAATGATTACATAATTGAAGAAAAAGATTCAACTTAAAGAAATATGGTTAGTATTTACTTCCGAATCATTACAAAGGAATTGTTTATTGCGATAGAAATCACTAGGTATGTTAATGGCTCTATGATGATATAATTCAAGAAAGCTGTACTTTTTAGCAGTTATTGCTAGAAAAAAAATTTTTTTACCATGTTTACTAAATTATTGAATATTAGTGTATCCACATCCATATTGACAACATTTGCTACTATTTCGTTATAAAATCGTTCCATTTCATCAAATGAAATGCGACCATCTCCATTTAAATCCATTATTCGGAACCAGTACTCGATACTTAAATTATAAAGAAATTTTTAAATTTTTTTTCGAATTTAGACTTCAAATATTCATCTGAAATATAGTATAGCCATTCAATCAATCATAATACGAGGGAGACAATAAGTAAAGTCATGACGAAGATTGGCAAAAGTCTGATCAGCCTACCCAGTGGTTAAATTAAACAGGGCGAGTTTGATCATTACAACAATTATCGGTGTCTTCCGTAGATTCATATATGAATGCATTCGAAGTATAATTATTCCAATATCGCAAGATAAACTAACTTAGCGAGATTTGGAATTATTCGATAAGCTCAAATGAACGATTTTTTTTTTTTAAAAAGTGCACACATACAGACACAGGAATAATATTTATTGACCTTTTCGGGTGACATTTGTCAACTTCTGCCAATAAGAAATTGACAAATGCAATGTAGTCCATAATTTGTTTCATTGAACAATTCGGTGATACAGCTCCGGAAAAAATGCGCTCCACTACCAAATTTGTTAATGCTAAAACTTTTAAGTTTGAAAGTAATGTAAAAAACGTTTCAAATGATTACTTCTATTAATCAATTCACTGTATCATGAAGTCAAGGGTTGACAGTAATAAATGATATCTTTCACTTCTAACAATCAATTCACTGCATCACGAAGTCAAAGTTGATAGCAGTAAATGATATCTTTCACAAATTATTAGTTTTTTTCGATCATTGCAAAACTTACCACAATTGGAATAAAGAGAAAGATCAAACGGTGTTAAGTAATTCTTTTTATCTTTATCCAACAAATAAAAGTTATAGTAAATAACGTAAAAATGTTCGTAACTAAAAAATTCACGTTCTTCATTGACGTCTACTTTTTCCAGTGCTCTAATTGCCTGCAATATTTTTCAAAAAACTCTAAGAGCAATCAAAATAGAGCAAGTGAAAAACATTTAATATAAGTGTGCCGAATTTTATTAAATTAAAATGACTCCATTCGGCCTGCATTAGTGCTTCACTTACATTAGCTATTGTTCCATTAGGTCTGGCTATAGAATTTATTAGTATGTGATACAGATAATTAACTCACCTTTAATAGATTTGATGAACGTAATTCTGCTATTGAAATATGTTTTTTCCAAGAATGACAAACAGTCCAGAAAATGCGTGCTGTCACCTGAAATATTTAAGATTTAGAACTAAATTGACAAACTTATGAGAAAAAAAGAATTCTCCATAACTGTTTTGATGTATGCTTGATGGAAGGTATTTGCTTCTTTCAAGAAGCTCAGTGAGGGTAATGTCTCAATTAAGTCCTGCATAAGTGCTTCAAAATCATCTGCAACAAGGAAATTTCGGCTTCCATTCGTTAAAATGTAAACAAAGCGTGAAGCCTCATCGTAAGCATTTTCTTTAAATCTGAAAAAAAATTGAAAAAATATGTTCAATTTGACAAAATTTTCAAATTTTTATAGTCAAAATTTTTTTTAACTTAAACGTAAAAAGTTGACATTTATTGTTTTAATGGACAATCGATCTTTTAAAAGCATACTTTTTCCACCAATTTGTGAATTCATTAAAATCAATGAAATTTGAAACTGAAGTAGAGATGCAATTGTAAAGTGGTTGTTTCCAGAGTGGGCACAACTTAGATGCTAAACAAATTTCCTCCATATGCGACAAATCAACCTGGAGCAAGAATGTAATAAGCATATTTGGACTATTTTATTCCTAATTTCATTTTTGATAGCTAATACTTTCAATTCAATTAATTCATATTTTGTATAAAAATTTCACAATTTATTATGCATCTTATTCGTTCACACAATGATACTTCTATCCGTTTCAATACTCACTGAATTATCCAGCGTCTCTTTGAATTTCTCAATAAATTTATTATGAATGCTATACCCGATCATTATATTTATGAAATAATTCTTTCACATCGTCTAGACTGCTGCAACTTTCTTTTTTACTCAGTGGAATACCATGAAAATAGTGAGAACTGAAATATGTCAGTGTAACAGAATTAAGCATAGTCCAAATTTTTCAACATTTTTGAAATTTGAAGTGTGAATCGAATTTAAAAACCAGTATACATACCGTGAAATGTCAGATGATGTTGGATTAGCTTCTTCAAGAATGTCCATTTTATCAAGCGTTAAGGAGTTAAGCTCGTTTGGTAAAAGTGCTTCGAAGGAACTGAAATTTGGAAAAAAATCTTGACAATTTTTTGAATAATCATGGGACTCATCAAATTTGAGATTTGTATTTGACAAAGTTCCTACCTTTCATTTCGTTTTTCCTCAATTTCTTCAGAAGTTAACGTATCACTGTTTCCCTGGAATAATCAAAATTCAATTTAAAATTCGGTTATTTCACAAATGAATAAAGTCTGCAAGTTTCATCTATTCTGTCGATAAACGGAAATTTGTCGGATCGCTTTATTTATCAAACTAAGTATGATAAATTTATCTGTGGATTTTTTTGCTTTTTTTCATAACTGCCTTCCACAGAATTAATTTTTTGCGCTAAATTTCTAACAACGAAGTCCAATTTAGCCACCATGAGACCAAGCAAGAAGATCTATGAAATAATAATTAGTGAAAATTTCTAACATCTACGCTTTTTCATTCTGCCGTATGTATTTAGAACTTGAGGAGCAAAATGTGAGCATTCATCATAATATGTATTTGCGCCTATCTATAACGCTTTAAGGCATTTATCTGTTTCCGTCCGAAGAAAGGTTTTTTTCCAATAGAATGCAAGTGAAATTCTTGCAAGTTACTGAAGATACATGATAATAAGAGTTATTCTTAGCTTTGTAAATATTGTACGTTTCTTGAACTCCGTTCAGCCGTGAGAAATATTATGATAAATGGGAAAGAAAATTAGGAGAAAACATCCAAATCTGTCTACTCAG